TTACTTGCTAACCTTTTGCCTGTCAGATATTATTGTGTATGTTCCAAATTTGTTACCACTACCAATGCAGCATCTCAGCTGAGTTAAAAACCAAGTCCAACTTTCTCCATCTTCCTTGTCAACCACACCAAAAGCTATGGGGTAGATGTTGTTGTTGCAATCCCTTCCTGTGGCAGCAAGAATTTGTTGTCCAGTGGTTAACTTGATGAAACACCCATCAAGCCCTGGATGCAGTAAAACATTAGCTACAGGCCAAATATGACCCAAAATTCAGAACAGTAAATTCAACAACAATTACCTATAAATGGTCTGCAACCATTCAGAAACCCTTCCTTTGATGCTGCCAGACAATAGAACATGTACTTGAATCTAGGAGTGGGTGCAGGATTTTCTGGGTCAACAAATGTTGTTACAATACATCTGCTCCCAGGGTTTGTGTCAAGAACAGCTTGAAGATAATCCCTCAGTCTCAAGTATTGTTGCTTGTGGTCACCTTGCACCACATCAACAGCCTTCCTCCTTGCCCTATATGCCACACTTCTTGAAACATCAACTGAAAACTTAGTCTTAGTCTTTTTTATTAATGCATCCACAGGAGCTCTAATGTCATCTCTCAATGCTGGTTGTACTGATTTGGACAACCACTTTGTAGTAACCTTTGTGTTCTCTGCACATGCTCCACAAGTGTGCAGCATATCACACTTCTTGATGCAGAAAGTTTGCTCATGAGCTATCTTAGAGGCACAGATATAAAAATCACATCCATGTGCTCTCTCTGAGCACCAAACAATAATCCTATCAGGGGCATTTCTGTGATACTGGAAATTCCTCAAAGTCCTGATGTGAAAATCCCTAAGTGCATCTCTGAACACATAAACATTGGTGAAGCACAATCCCTTACAAAACTGTTCTTGTGGATCTGGAAGCTTTTCATTGAACCATACCCTTTCCTTCATCTTCTTAAACCTTCTCTTCCTACCACTTGGTAGTTTGAAAGCTCCTTCAATCTCATCTTCTTCATCACTAATTCCAGGATCACCAGGAAAACAAAATTCATCTGCTTCAGGAAACCAGTCTAGTTTTTCCTTCTTCTCAACCTCATGGTGTGATCTACTTGTTGGACCAGGATTTCTCACTGCCTTCAGCTTCTGGACCATTGATCTATTTTGTTTTGCAGCTTCTTCTTCAGAGGAGGAGCCTATATGTAATTCCACATTGTTGCCATCTTCATCAAAAAGAAATTCAAACACATCAGTGTCACCCTCAAAATGGTTAAGGTCAGCTTCTCTCTAAAGATTGTTCTTCTTAAGCTCATCCTTTCTGTCTTTGGTTGCATCCACCAGCTTCGTGCAACTTTGTTGTGTGTTAATACAATGTTCAGCAAAATAACTATCTCTATTTTCATCTGCATTAGAAGGCTCATCTGCTCTGACAACTCGTATGTTCACAGTCTTTTCCTTATCTAATTGGATCAACATCTGCTGCACATAATCTTCACAACCAACATGCTCTAGACCTTCTATTCCTTTCTCCTCATCAACAACATAGTACATATAATCATCAGCTCCACAGCCCTCAGACGTAATAAGAGAAACCAGATTAATATATGATATGTCTGACTGGTAAATTCTTCTAACCATAGATTCTCTGGCTAGAAAATGAAACCAAATTTCCCACTTTGGGTCATCAATACTGCAACATAGATTAAGATAGTTATAATTAAACGGCCTGGACAATAATAAGATTTCTCACAGTTAACTGTTTTTCAGTTCTCTGACAGCTTAGATTCACTGAAAACACAACGCAATGTTAAGGTTGCTAACAGATTTCAATTTATGCATAAACAGGGTTGTAATCTGAATCTAAGTGTGCAACTAGCCTATATATCATGCTTCTAAAATTATCCTAAAATTACATAAACATTATGAGAAATCAGATGCCATACCTTGCTCCGCTAGCAGGACGAGGAACCTTGCGCCGGCCTCGACCTACGCTTCTTCTCGTCGACGGTACTACAACCGGAGGCGGCCTCACCGACATCTAGGACGGCTGAGATTGCGGTTGGGAAGGCTGTGGAACCACGAAGCTTGTGCTGCCTAGCCAGTTATCAACCTCCGAGAAGCCGGCAACATCGCCTCCCACCACGTTGGGGGGGATGCCTCCAAGCGATTCGGCGCCGGAGTTTGCATCCACTGCCGCCATGAACGCCGTCGGCTAGGGTTAGGAGAAGAACTCGGGGGAGAGTGAGGGAGAGTGAGGGAGCGTGGGGACGAGCGGCCCGGTCGGCCAGCTTAGTCCTGGTCCGACCAGGTGCGACCGCGACGGCCGGGTCTAACGGCTGTGAGGGAGCGCCGTTAGCCGTTACCGCTGGGTCCACCTGGCATGTGGGCCACTGCTGTCAGAAACGGGTTTAAACGCTCTAAAACGGTCAATTCGTCAACTTGGTAGTTTTTAGTCACGCGCTTCCAATTTTTTGGTAGTTATCAGCCACTTTTTAAAAAGTGGTAGTTCTGTGGGATGGAAGACTCAATTATGGTAATTTTTTGTCAAAGTGCTTGCGGCAACCTTTACTCGCCAAGCTTGTTCACATAACAGCGCTGCTATGCACACGATGCCATCGGACCATTCATGCACAACATCACATATCTATTCGTTCGTGCATATCATCGAGCACATATCAACGGCTGTATGGCCCATCGTGCCGCTGTCGTGCATGCATTCGTCGTCCGCAGAGCAGTTTCGTTCACATAAGGCCAACTTCAACAAGGTTCACGAAAATCGCTTCTAATTGCGCGATTGGTACGCTACATTAGACTTAACCAAACCCGCTACAAACGTCTGAATCACTTGTTTTCTCTTAGCCAGACTCACGTCGTGCGTGCAGAGGAGGAGAACGCGGTGCCAAACTCATGCGAGCGGAGAGATGGCTCCAACTCGCGCGTGTTCCCATAACAGCGGCGGGAGGAATTAGGTCATCTCCCGCTGAATCGGCCGCCTTGTTTAGCCCCCCTTCAGCTCACCGCCGAAACCAGACCCGCAAATTCTTTACCGACGAGCAAATAAGCAATAGTGATGCATGGTTCTTCTTCCTCCTTTTCTCCGGCATGTTTCACGTCTCCACGCTGCTCCGATGGTTGTAAGTTGAATCACTTCCTCTATTTGTTCGAGTTTAGACCTGTAAGCATGCGACAGGAGTAGATAAGTGAGCATGTGGTAGATCGAATGGTAGTGGTCCGTGGTGATGTTTCGGTAGCATGCTAGTTTTGCTTGTCAGCATTGATGATGTTCATGTTGTATTTCATGTCGGTTTTCGATGATGATCAGAGCTTGTGTCATTCTACAGTAGTATACGAGTATGGTGGATAGGTAGATGTGGTAGTGTGTTGAACTTCATGGTTTGCTTTGAGCTTCAAGCTCGGTCCATGTGTGGCGTGTTTAACTTCATTGGTTGGGCTCCATGTGTAGTATTATTTGTATTTGTTCCTGTGCATGTGTAGTGTGTTGAACTAGTTCTGATGCTAACGATTGTTGGACATGAGCACCGAAGACTTTAGTCAAACCATTGTCTTAGTGCGAGAACCAGTCATGACATCCTATGTTAAGGATTCCTATCTAATGTCCGAGCAGATGCCTCCTGATTCAGATGAGTTCGAGGGGGGCATTTAGGCAGCCATCTTTTGTGGTGGCGATGCTTAATGTTGCTATTGTTCTTGCACATAAGGCAGCCATGATGGCTGGAAAGACAAAGATGTCTAGGAAGGGGAACACAATGAAATGGCGGCCTTACATGTCCACTTTCGTGCTTAAGAAGATGTGTGAGATCATATCCAGTGGGCCGAGGACTGACAAGGGCTTCAAGGAGGTGCGCCTCAACGGTCAACGTTGTTGCCAAGTAGGTCTTTGAGTTTTGTGGCCATGAGGTGACCTCAACTCATGTCTACATCCACCTTAAGAAGTGGAAAGCCAGATGGATCCAAGTGTTCAGCCTCGTAGACCTTAGAGATGCACAAAGGGATCAGGACACCTTGATGATCCTCTTGAAGTGAGAACACTATCATGGCCATACCACGGTTAGCAAGCATATCATTTGTTAGACTTGTTTAGCTTCTCTAACATGCAAATCACAACTAACAACGATGTGTTTTGTTCTTATGATTACCCCAAGAATGATGAGTTTCTCAATACTCCCATCCAGGACTACTCTCAAATGCAGACCATCTTCGACCCCTCCTCTTCCGACAACCCTACTGGTGTGGGAAGGCTCCTATCGACCTATGGAGATGTAGTCCCGCATTTTTTGGATGGAGTTAGGTAGGCATTATATGCTCATTTGCTTTTGCCCTTCTATTGACGGTGGTATCTACCCAACAAATAATTTTTCCTCGAGCCTTCTCATCTCGATGGTGTTTTTTGTGGCATCGGTGGTTCGCAGGCGTAGATTCTTATTGTCCGCCGTGAATAATGAGGCTAGGGTTTGAAGGGCTCATCGACGCGACTGCGATGACGGCTAACTTTCGTACTTGGATCATCCGGCCTCATCTCCGTCACATCGGCGCGTCCTTCGGTGCCGGCGTGAGGTCCGTGAGATTTTATGGAGGGCGGACTTTTGGATTTGCGGCTCTTTCGATAGCGACAACTTCTACTCTGAAATGATAACCTGACAGAACCGTTGCCTTAATGACTTTTCATTTGCAATCAATAATGTAAGTCTGGCTCCGATATTGGAGCGGCTTGCAGCGATACATCATCGGCCTGCTCAAGAAGAAAGTGAAAACCATTAGCTTGGAGAACAGATTTTTTTAAAAATATATATATGAAAAAGGATAGCCCGCTTCTTCCACCAAAATATAAAGAAAAAAGTGGTCGATATGAAGGCAGCTTCCTCCTCTTGACCGTTGACTGTTGACTCGTAGCTTGCTTCTTCCTCTGCTCTTTCCAACTGTCAAACAGAGCGTCTTCGGTGTACTACGCAAGAAACAGAGCTCCCTCCACCACCGTCGATGGTGCGGACGACGGTGCAGGAGCTGGCGGCGGCCGTGGAGGAGCCGCCGCGACAGTACGTGGTGGCGCACGAGCAAGATCAAGGCCTGCTGGCCGCTGATGAGATGCCGGAGCCCATCCCTCTCATCGATCTTAGCCGGCTGACTACGGCCGCCGCCGCCGACGAGGCCGACAAGCTCCGGGCGGCTCTACAGACCTGGGGCCTCTTCATGGTGAATCTCGATTAAATTATTTTAACACCACGCAGACGCTGCCGGCTAGGCGCGCAGCCGCCGCCGCCTTGATCTCCCAGATGCCCTCGTCACCTCCACTTCCGGCGAGACCAGATCCGAACCCTACCCCCCGCAGTGGGCCGCCTCCGCCCAGCTGGATGTCGTCACCATGGCGATGAAGAAGCAACCAGATTAGTAGTAGTAATTTCTAAAGTTATTGAGCTGTTGCTGAAATTGTTCAACACTTTGATATCCAGGTGACCAACCATGGAATCGAGGAGTCTCTCATGGATGCCATGATGAGCGCGTCGAGGGAATTCTTCCGGCAACCGTCCGAAGAGAAGCAGAAATGCAGCAACTTGATAGACGGCGGCGGCAAGCACTCTGAGGTGGAAGGCTATGGAAATGACGAGGTGGTAAACCAGGCCGAGGGCCTCAGCTGGAACGACCGGCTGCATCTGAGGGTGGAGCCAGAAGATGAGAGGAATTTCACCAAGTGGCCCGCTCACCCGAAATCTTTCAGGTTATAATCGCCATTCAAGTGATGTTTCACATTTCTAATACTACTACTGTATTAGCTTAGTTGCCAATGAAGGAAAACACGGTGAAAAATTCAGAAATGCACTACAAGAAAAGGATACTCAGACACAATTTATAACTGAATAAAGGAATCAAAAGCTTTGATTGACTGAACTATTCATTCTAGAGTCTTTCTACATGCAGGGATGTGCTTCTTGAGTACGCATCAAGAACCAAGAGAATAAGAGACCTCGTCTTTCGATCGATCGCCAAGCTCCTGGACCTTGATGAGGATTACTTCCTCAACCAAATATCAAGCAAGGATCCCGGGTTTGCTAGGTTCAACTACTACCCTCCGTGTCCGAGACCTGACCTAGTACTGGGCATGAGGCCTCACTCTGATGCTGGTCTCCTTACCATCCTTTTTGTCGACCACGACGTCGGTGGCTTGCAAGTTGAGAGAGATGGGAGATGGTACAATGTTCCGGCCAAGCCTTACTCGTTGGTGATCAACTTGGCTGACTGCATGGAGGTATGAAGCTAATTAAGCACTTGCTCTCTCTCTCTATCTCTCTTGAATAATCTACAACAAATCATGAGTGTACAACATATATCCTAGTGTTTCCTGAATGCTGATGCTTCGTTGACACGTATGCAAATATATATTCGACGCAGATAATGTGCAACGGGATCTTCAGGAGCCCGGTCCACAGGGTGGTGACGAACGCCGAGAGAGAGAGGCTTTCACTGGCCGTGTTTTATGCTGTGGATGGAGAGACGGTGCTGGAGCCAGCGCCTGGTTTGCTGGATGACGAGCGACCGGCAAGATATGGGAAATTCAAGGCCAAGGATTTCGGTCTTTCTTTCGACTGAACATAACATTTCAGCCAAGGGAAGAGATTCATGGAGACCCTGAAAATACAAGCTCGGCGGTCTCAATTAGTTTATCTACGGATTTGTAGCAGTGATTTATTACCTGTGGAGAATAAATAAAGAGATGGTTTCTCTTGTGTGAGTGGGGATTTTATCTATAATATAATCGCCTTTTCTTTCTTATAAGCAACTCGCTTCTTCAACGCTTAACTAATAGCCGGTTCGACCCCGCAAGAAAAAAAACTAATAGCCAGTTCGGTGCTGTTGTGTTTTTCATTTTTTTATATACTCCAACTAGCATATATAGTAACCTCCAAAAAGTGCGCGGGGAATATATTTGTGATCTTCGAAGTTGTGTTGCAGAACAACATGGTCCATCTCAGTTGTGTTGCAGAGCGAGACTAATTTTTTTTCAAAGAGTAGAAAAGAATGTTTCGGTGAAGTATTTGATGTCATACTTTCGCGCCGGCAATACATTTTCAAAATCCCATCTTGTGTTTACAGAGAAGAACAGACTTGACCGGGAACTCCAACATACTTGTCAGCTCTTTGGTGAGCTAAAGGAGATCCATCTCAGTAACTGAATTGAAATTTATTCTTTCACGCAGTCACAGTGATTACTTGAACATGTATTGAGTAATATAAATTGACTCATTTCACTACATGAAGCGACAACCATCCATAATTTGATATAAGAAACCTCAGAAAAAGAAAAGGAGTTCGCTCCCTGGTGCCTGGTCGCCGCCACCCTAGTCAAACCTAGCCGTCCGGCCGGGGATCACAGTTTTCTGGTCGTCTCCGGCGACATGACATTGTTGTTCCCCGTTAGCTATTGGTGGACACCGGCAGCCGAGGACAAGGAGGCGGCCGCGAGAACAAGGGAAAGAAGAGAAGACGGCCAGGCGGACGAACAGGAGGCCGCCGGTCATGTAACCCTAGGTCTCGCCTTCCTTCATAAGGGGATCACCCTAGTCCCCATAGTATTATTTTCATATACGAGACGTTTCCCTCCATCAATCAAATACAAAGCAGGAGTAGAGTATTACCTCTATGATGAGGACCCGAACCTAGGTTAACTACCTAGGAACTCCCCGTGTGTGATCCCCTACCACCACTTTGTTTCAATATATGGGTAAAAAGGAAGAAGGCCAAAAATAATATAACCAGTTTTACTGTTATGGCAGAAAATTTTCCAATGCCCATAAACTCTCTCCAACAAATAGCAGACAGTCGATTTTCACAACAGAAAAAGGAAAAAAAAAGACTCGGTAAACTGAGTTTTGGTATAGTTTCTTCCCGTCGGGCCAGCCAGGGAAGGCAGATAACTCAAGAGGATGGATGGATGGATACGATTTCGCAATGGAGAAGACAGCATCTTATTCAGCAAACTGACTGCTGGTATGCTCTCCATCAGGCCAGCCAGGGAAGGCAGATAACTCAAGAGGATGGATGGATGGATAGCAGCTGCGCCACTAGGAGAGAATATACAATGGGTGAAGTTTCTACAGCCAGAGAGAGAAAGCAAAATGAGTCCAGAATGGCAGTTCAACATAAAATGAGGTTTGCAATTGTACACCCCACTGACTCCACCCGGGCCACACATGACTCTTGACTCATGCTCGATTGATTGATTTTTCCTCTAAATCCTTCCTTCTTCCATGGTTGCATGGCTGCCAATGTTGAGCAAAAACAACACATGGTCACACTTGAACCGGACCATAATCATCTTCCCCCTCTCCTCTTTCATGCCGAAACAAGGAACGGGTCCCTCTCTCTAGTAAACTAGGCACAGAACGGACCAACGACACCGACCAACGCAGACAGACAGACGACCATTCTCTGGCTCCTTGGAGACTAATCTCGCCAAGCAGCGGAATCAATCCAATAAAATTTAAAGAGAAAAAAGTCACCAGATAGTTTCGGTTACGACAGACAGACAGACGGACGGTGAGGGTTGGGTTGGGTTGGGTTGGGTTGGCACAACCAAAGGAAAAAAACTTTACAATCTGTTTTGCTACTCTCTTGTCCAAGAGCAAGCCAGAGAGAGAACTCCATGTTGGCTCCACAATCTCTTTCTTGCATGCTAGCTCTTCTGGCACCACTAGCTCAGCAGCAACTTGAATATGTCGCTCAGCGATATTACGCCTTCCACTCGCTTGCTGCCAGCCTCCACGATGAACACGCGACGCACCCCTGGTAATGACAGGCACACGAGAATCCGGTGAATCGACGGAGCAAACAATTATTAATACTCGTGCAGGTACACCAATAGAAAAATACTTACCAGGATTAGCCAATCTCTCCATAACCTTCAGCAAAGGGTCAGACCGAAGACACATCTGGCATCTTTGACCGTTGAAAAGTCCAAAAGGTGAATTCGCGTCTTGCCCAAGTTGCAAGGCCTGACCACACAAGAAAGTGTTCATACTGCAGCCATGAAATCTGGACGGGTAACAGATTTACAGATGCATAACTCATGAGAAACGATGTTTGAAATTATATAGCACTATGGAACAACCAGCTCTCCCCTTCACGTATGTTTTTTCACTGTTCGCTGCAGCATCAGCTGCAGTTTTAAATTTCACAAGCACTGATAGGATATGTGGCATCAACTGACCAAGTGAAACGACAAAAGGAAAATATGTACTTGGACAAAGGAGCATCTATACGTGGCTCCAAACAAAGGGGCACTTATCACTGCCTGCCTCTGGGGCTACAAACTAATGAGGCCTTGCTTCACTAATGAATTCCAGAATCAGTTATCATATCCACAAGGTAGTATTTTTAAATTTTATATGGTATGCACAGTTTGGTAGTTTGGATATCAATCCAGATTTCAATTCAGATAGAGAAAACAGTAAGGTAACTGTAATTCCAAAAGGAAGAACTTCACTATGCCTACATTTTTGTTCATTCCCAAAATATCAACTCTTAATATAAACAAGTTTCACATAGCAGAAGCTAAAGTCGTTGGACAAATAAACTCAAGTATAAGTTTCAGTCTAAAACTTGGTTGAGAATGAGATAGGCATTAATATCTACTATAGCATACCTGATGAATGGTCATCTCATCTAGGCGAATATGGGTGTAGACCTTGTCTTTTGCTAGAGCTGTGATGTCACTGCATAATGGAGGAAACACAATACATAAGTCACCAGCAAAACTGCAACATACTACCTCTGTAACTAAATATTGAAGTTACAGAGGTAGTGGCAAACAATGCAACCCAAAGAATGAAGTATGTCTGCATGTGTCAGCATGGTATACCTTCTGGAGTATGTGTCGATCAGCGAGTCATTATCATCCACAATGGGTATTGAACTAACTCCAGCTGCATGTACAGAATGTAAGGGATCAGTGATGCATAATTAATACAGACAGTAGTTTCACGTCATATGGAATATCAGCTGATTGTGTTAAACCTCAATAACACAAGAGCTGCCTTAGAATTTGGAGATACAAGCAAGAGCACCTTTGTTTTGTATTGCATTTCCCAAGCATAGGTATGTATGGGTATGGTTGCAGCAAAGAGAACAGAGAACATACCTTGAACCAACAAGTTAAGGGCAGAGCTAAGAGATGTATTAGGCCGCAACATAGCCAATGGATGACCATTTGGTTCACCAATTTTTGGAACCCATGTACCCAGCGGAATTGAGCATACTGGTTGGTTTAGAATCGGCAAACTACCAGTGGAGTTCTTAAAGTATCTACAGATACCTGAAAAGAATATATGCTGCTAAGCAATCTCACAATAAAGCTCCTTATAGCATATTAAAGTCCCACTCATCATAAAGATGCCAAATACTTACATTTCAAAATTCCTGAAAGGGATGCAAGATGCAACAGCTGCGGAAACGATCCATCTGATGACGATGAATAGATGATTGGTACTGTAGAAATACCAGTTTCAAGTATTTTCATGGCAATACCCCTCAAGGATTCATAAGGGGTGGCCTAGACAACAGGAACTCCAGTGTTAGTGCATTGCCACATAAATCATAATGTAACTAAATACTTCCTCCGTCCAAAAAAACTTGTCGCAAGCTTATCTTCAAATGAATGTATCTAGAACTAATTTGGTGCTAGATACATCCATTTGAGGGACAAGCTCTGCCTTAAAACACTTACTCGAGCAAATGGGTCACAAAGCTCACAAGGACAGTTTTAAACGAAGGTTAAAATTTAAATGTGTGTGCTAAATGGTGGGTGGCAAAAGGGGTTCTCGCTTCTCAGTGACTACTTCCAACTACGACTCGCCAAATGAAATTAAATCAAAAGGTATGATTTCATTTTTATACAATAGGCATGCAAAGGTTATCAATTCCATGAAGCCAAGCATAATTGGTCAAACCAGTTCCAATAAGTCTGTCAAACCAAACTCTGAGATGAAACGTCAGTACCAATAAGACTGAACCCAAACTGCACAGAAAACTGCAATCCAATTCTCAGCCAGATGTTGGTACCAACTTACATGCACTAGATGCTGATTTGATCTAAGTTGTCCATCATTTCTTCCATAAGTTTGCCGCTTAGCCTCTTTCCACGCAGATATAGTGTGTGTTTCAAGCTGTTCCTCTGTCAGGTTTGAGCCATGCGTTTCCAGCTGCAACAAAAACAAGATGTTACAAAATAATTTTGCAAAATACGTAATACAGGTTATTTCTGGAAAAAAAATACATGATAAGAAACTATAATTTATCAAGTAAATAAAACAAGAGGAATGGATGTTCATTGGCACACAGGGTGTTGCAATAAAAACATAGTGTGCAAAACTATCACCCACAAACACGGATTCCCTGGCCAGCAGGCCTAGGGAACAGCATCAGTGGACTAGCAACTAAAAAGGCACATGAAAATTGACCATTCACAACTACCTCCGCAAAGACGGTAATAACACCTGAAGAATTCTGTTCGAAGCAAGTGCCTTGATTCGCAAAGTTATTAAACTGTCATAGTGGAAGATTGTTCGAATAAACAGTATGGCACCACCCACAACAATGTACTACTAGTGAAGTACACATCCAGGACATTTTGCCTCTACTACAGAGTACATGAATGACACATCACACAAGTAAAGCAACTATCAACCGGGTCAAATAATACAACAAAAGCTAAGAAAAAAGAGTAAATGCTGAAACAGATTACCTCTCTCAATATAAGTATAAAATCCAGTGGGCTCAGAAGGCCAACAAACTGACCCCTGAATGAATCCCACAGAGGAGCCACAGGAATCCCCTGCAAAGTGCACTATTCAGTGTATGTTCTCACAACATGCCAGTAACTTCAATACATGATACAAGCAACAATGGATTATCAAGGGGCCAGAAATGCTGGATCATAGAAAAGATAAATAATTTATGTTTCTAACCATGCAGAACCAGGACACAACTATTAGCTAAGAAACTAACCCCAGAGACTAGAATGATCCACACAGCAATAAGCAATAACTGGGGTTGCTAGTGAAATAAGATAAATTTTACTAACAAAGGGCAGCCAACGCTTACAATCAGCTATGAACAGTATTGAGCTGTACACTTGTATTAGCACAATATAGTAGTATAATTTTAAAAAATAAACAAGCAATGTTCAGTTTCCACTCAATTCCTTAGAAGTAAATCCATGTGCCAGCATTTACTAAAATGTACGTAACTGTCTCGATTCTCCCAATTCTATGTCCCAATGCAATTATGAACAGTTAAGCATCATATGGTACGAGTATTAGATCATGAGATGCAGGCAGAGATAGATAAAAGGGCAGCCCAGTGCATGTAGCTCCCACTTGCACAGGGTCCGGGGAAGGGTCCAAAGATAGATAATTGTGAAAAAACATAATGTTTACTAGTAAGGAGACTACGAGTGAAGTAATTTCTTTTTCTTATGTACAGCATCTAATTCATGTAAATTTAGGTAGGAGATATAAAGCAAAGTGAAGAGCAATTTAGCATGCCTCCCACAGACCAAACAATACAGCTCTAGAAGGTAAGATTTCATACCTGTTCATGGAGAATATGGAAAGATTGCTTCACAGGTAAATTAATGTCCAGAGCAATGACCTGGATTGAAAAGGTATAATAATGTTATAAAATAAACCTCTCCATTAATAGCGCTCAAGCAGCTGGGTTGCCCATACCTTTCCAGAATCTGGTAGTAGGTCATGGCCTGTATGCGCATTCAGATACTCAGCAACACGACACCTAGAGATCTGTATAGCAGCCTCTGAAATTCTTGGAGAACCTTCCTGAAGGGCACCATCCAACAACGAACCCTAAGGTAACGACAAGGTCATTGTTACGTAAATTTCATCCCTACTCCATAACTAAATATTCTATTTACCTTCAACAAAGAAATTAGTAGAATCCCAAAGCAGAGAACTACCATATAACCACCATTCCATGGGTACATGAACTTTAGAATGCAGATAACAAGATATATTGGAGCAAGTATTGCTTTCTATAAATTATCCAAGGAAATAAAGTAACACTTGTCTCCTGTGCAGATAATATTTTCCAAGAGGCTGTAATACTGAAATGGTAATACATTTAGGTATGCTTACAAATATGTCACCATAACATTTCAATTAAGCTTAGAGGACGGTTATAAAAAGAACAGGTAGACTACATAGTGTGGCTGTTCACGCACAACTAGGCGAGATAAGTGATACTTACCATTCGTTGAAAACTATCATTGTCCACATCCATCCTGCTCCCAGGTGTAGTGGGGCTCAGTACAGTATTTATGTGGTCAAATTCCCTTGTCAAGTACAAAGTGTTTACCACCCCATACTCTCCCGTTATAGTAGGTTGCCCCTCGTCATGCCTCCACTGCCCGTCCACATTGAACTTGTACTGTGTAAAAATAACCAAGCAAGAAGGTTCTCACATTAGAAATTCCATTGCATATATGCCGTGCATGATTCATTATAGATGTCAAAAAGTGACATTACACATGAGATAAAAAATAAGCTAGTTACATGTACAAATGCAGCCAATATTATATTATTATATCATGTGCAAATCAAGAAAAAAAAACATCGTGCTGGACAATCGCTCAAACAGCAACCTTATAAAGCAGAATGGAGATTTCAACACAGGAAATAAATCTCAGCATATACCAACTAATTGGCAAGGTAAGCACACAACAATTTTAGTTAGCACGGGATAAAGAAGGGAACCTGATAAATCCCTGGAGGTAAGCTGCAGATAGCTTGAAATACAGTGGGGCAACCTTCGACTGGAGACATCGGCAAATGCTCTGACCACCTACGACAAAATTGGGAGTTACGGTGCATAAAAAACATCATGGGATTTAAAAAGCAGTAATCGACAGAAAACAAATTCCCTTTGTGTGTTTTCCTGAACGGGGAACATGTGCAATTTTGTTCCTCTTTGGAAATTCCATTTGTTTCCGCGTGCTAGCAAGACTGGACAGTATGCGAACTTCTGTTGTCGTGGCGCTACCCCGCCACAGACAAGCGCTAAGGCGGGAAGATGCACCTTCAGATTCACCCATGTGTGAACTAACAACTAAGACAGCGTGCGGGGTAAGGAAGCTGCACCACCAGAGTAAGCCCAACGGTCGAATCCATGCAGTGCACCCAGATATAAACCATAGTACGTACATATCTACAGCCCCCCTTGCAAGAGAGCAGGGAGATAATCTATCCATCATTAATTATCCAATCAAAACACAAGATAAGATAGGGCGGTGCCGCGCTCCTAGAGATATCGATCAAGTGAGCAGCATTAAAATAATACTAATCCCTTTGGAAACCAAACTGCAGCGTCCCTGGTTCCCTGCGGTAACTGATGATGCAGCTGAAACGGCTGTGGGCAGTGAGCGAGCAAAGTAATTGCAGAATAAATACATAGATAAGAAAAGGTGTACTCAGTAATCACTGGAGATATGATGACAGGATGGAGATATAGAGATAGAGATTGAGATGGATATGGAGATGGAGTGGAGAGATAGGGATAAAGCGCAGACCTGGTGAAGGAACCGCTGAGGAAGACCCTCTTGCCGCCATGGGGCCAGACGAAGCGGGTGTGGACGAGCGGGCCGCCGGCGCTGACACCGACGCCGCCGCCGGCGGCGGAGGCGTCGTGGGCGGGATCCGCGCCGTGCGAAAACATCCGTCTCCTGCTAGCCGTCGCGCCACGCGACGACGAGATCGGCCGAGCGAGCAAACCCTAGAGCGGCGGAGCTGCTGCCGCTGCCGCCGCCGCCGCTGCTTCTTCTACCCTAGGACGGGCCGGGCGGGCGCGGGACGGACGGGACCCCTCCACGCGGGCTTGCCCACGCGACGGCTCCCCTCCCCTCCCCACGCGCGTGCTGTCGACGGAGGGAGAGAGATCACCCGCGCAGGCCCGCTCCCACCGGCATCTCCCTCGGTCTGTCCGTCCGTCCGTACGAATCGGGGGCGGCGGGGGGGATCTCGGGTCGGCGGCGACGACGGTGGGGCGGCGCGGCGGGGGATCCGGAGATGCGGTGAGGGGGAGGAGGCGGAGATGGGGACGGAGGAGGAGAGGAAAGGTTGAAAAGGAGACCTAGCGGGCGGGCGGGCGGGCGGGCACGAGGATCTTCTGCGCCTCCTGCCCTCACTCCACGCAAGGTCCAGCTCACACCCTAACCTTCTTCCCCGTCCTTTCTTCCCCGCCTGCCTAATATGCCGATTTCTCGCAGGTCCCTCCCCGAACTCTTCTTGCCTTCGCGGAGCTTTCCTCACCCGGTCGATGAGCCGATGGTGGTCACCGGGAGGCCCGAGAAGGATTAGGTGAGGAAACTCTAGATCTGAGGCGACGGTGGTTTTTAGTTTTCCGGAGCGTCGAGGGCGCGCGCGAGGTTTTTATAGGCGACGCGGCCAGAGAGCCTCGGGGAAACAGGGGGCGCTTACATTGCCGGGCAATGGGGTTTAATGCGATAGTATCGGTTTTGGATATCGCGTTATAAAGAACGAAGGCGTGGATTAAGCACGAACGGACAAAAACGGCATCCGTGAGAAAAATATTGGCGATGGGAGGTGGATGGAAGGGGGAAGGAGTGACGTGGAGGAATATATGATTGGGTGACACAATAGTTACGTTACTATAGAGCGGCGCCGAAGGGTCCAGGAAATAGATGAGGTGTCCGAAATGAAACTTGATGTTCCATGAATCATACTATACATGAATTGTTCCATGTTAACTCCGCGAGCTAACATGGGTATAACCAATGAAAACCTGCGAGTTAACATGGAACAATCATATATGTGATCTATGGGACACGAAGTATCGTTCCGACATCCTCACCTATTTCATGGACCCTCCCTCGCATCCGGCCTGCTCCATAGTAACATCACTATTGGCGTTTTTCGACCATATCTTCCCCCACATCACCCCTTCCTCTCACCGTCCACCTTTCATCGCCAATATTTTTCTTCGTGATGTTGTTTTTGTCCATTCGCCCTTAATTCGTGCCTCACTTATTTGTAACGTGATATCCGAAACCGATACTACCGCATTAAACCCCATCGTCCGGTAACGTAAGCACCCCCTTTTTTCCAGAAGCCCTCTAGTCGCGCCATCTATAAAACCCCCGTGTGCGCTCTCAGTGCCCCATAGAACCAAAAACCGTCATCACCTTGGATCCACAGTCTCCTCACCTGATCTTTTCCCAGCATCCTCAGTGACGATCATCGGCATGACAATCAGTCTCCTCACTTCTTTATAACACGCCACATGATGGTGTCCCGACTATGGGTTTTCTCACTACGTCATCTCCCGCCCTAGTGGGTCGGGCCAAGGACCCCATTTCGGTTCAAGAGCGGACCATGTTGGGCAGCCCTTTATTTATAAACGGAAGGCTCCCAACGACTTGTCATGTACTCCAAGATGCTAGATTTGTCGAAGACTTGATCTCCTTGTATGTAGCCGACTAGGATGTTGTAACCCTAGGCCCCTCCGTATCTATATAAACTGAGGGTAGGGCTCATAGAGGACACACAACAGTTTCAGGGTAGATCATTTGCACTTTGTACTCCAATCCAAAGCAATAAATACAAGCAGGACGTAGGGTGTTATCTCTTCGGAGAGCTCGAACCTGGGCAAACCTCGTGTCCTTATTACCACACGAAATGGATATTCCTCTAGTCGCGCCCGAAATCTGCCGGATTTAGCTCCTTCACCACACGAAATGGATATTACTCCGCTAAACCTGCCCCATAACATACGCTCTATCTATTTTCCTTTAGTGAAAAGCACATAACCATCACATTCATGGTGCCATTAAAAAAAGTCACCACTTTACATTTTATTAGCAAATTTCACCTAAGGTGACGGTTCCGTGATAAAAGGCACTAATCGCTGTTGACCCGCGCTTTGACATGGCAAGAATTATGACAGCGCGGAGCTGCCAACCATTAACGGGTTGTCACAACCCACCTTGTAAATTTACAAACAAGCCCTCAAGAGAAAGGAAAAAGTGATTTGGCCCCTGGATTCGGCCAGTAGCCAGACAACGCAGGCCAGCTTGCGCGTGTGCACTAGCATGAGCCCGGGCAGGGGAGGAAGTTGGGTGGTGTCGGTATTCGACCAAGCGGCGGTTGGAAGGGGTTGCGCAAAAGTGGAGATGATGGCTGATGTCTACTACGCAACTTTATCCTGGTAGACGTTGTTGGGCCTCCAAGTGCAAAGTTTTGTAGGACAATAGCAAATTTCCCTCAAGTGGATGACCTAAGGTTTATCAATCCATAGGAGGCGTAGGATGAAGATGGTCTCTCTCAAACAACCCTGCAACCAAATAACAAAGAGTCTCTTGTGTCCCCAACACACCCAATACAATGGTAAATTGTATAGGTGCACTAGTTTGGCGAAGAGATGGTGATACAAGTGCAATATGGATGATAGATATAGGTTTTTGTAATCTAAAAATATAAAAACAGCAAGGTAACTAATAGTAAAAGTAAGCAAAAACGGTGTTGCAATGCTTGGAAACAAGGCATAGGGTTCATACTTTCACTAGTGCAAGTTCTCTCAACAATGATAACATAATTAGATCATGTAAAAATCCCTCAACGAAGAGATTATTGTAGGGTACGAAATCACCTCAAAGTTATTCTTACTGATCGATCTATTGGGCTATTCCTATAAGTGTCACAAACAACCCTAGAGTTCGTGCTAAAATAACACCTTAAGACACACATCAACCAAAAACCTAATGTCACCTAGATACTCCAATGTCGCCGCAAGTATCCGCGGGTTTGATTATACGATATGCATCACATAATCTCAGCTTCATCTATTCAAACCAACACAAAGAACTTCAAAGAGTGTCCCCGAGTTTCTACCGGAGAGTCAAGACGAAAACATGTGCCAACCCCTATGCATAAGTTCACAAGGTCACAGAACTCGCAAGTTGATCACCAAAACATACATCAAGTAGATCACATGAATATTCCATTGTCACCACATATAAGCACATGCAAGACATATATCAAGTGTTCTCAAATCCTTAAAGACTCAATCCGATAAGATAACTTCAAAGAGAAAACTCAGTCCATTACAAGAAGGTAGAGGGGGAGAAACATCATAAGATCCAACTATAATAGCAAAGCTCGCGGTACATCAAGATCGTGCCAAATCAAGAACATGAGAGAGAGAGAGATCAAATACATAGCTAATGGTACATATCCTCAGCCCCGAGGGTGAACTACTCCCTCTTCGTCATGAAGAGCGCCGGCATGATGAAGATGGCCACCGGTGATGATTCCCCCCTCCAGCATGGTGCCGGAACGGGCTCCTGATTGGTTTTTGTGGCTACAGAGGCTTGCAGTGGCGGAACTCCTAATCTAGGTTTATTTTTGGGGGTTCCTATATTTATAGGAATTTTTGGTATCGAGAACAAGTCAGGAGGGTCCACGAGAAGCCCACAAGACCGGAGGGCGCGCCCTCCACCCTTGTGGAGGTCTCGTGGCTCTTCTGGCCCAACTCTTTTGCTTCAGGGGCTTCTTCTGGTCCATAAAAAATCACCGTAAATTTTCAGCTCAATTGGACTCCGTTTGATATTCCTTTTCTGCGGAACTCAAAAACAAGGAAAAGACAGAAACTCACCCTCTAGGTTAATAGGTTAGTCCTAAAAATCATATAAAATAGCATATAAATGCATATAAAACATCCAAGATGGGTAATATAATAGCATGGAACAATCAAAATATCCCCAAGCTTAATTCCTGCTCGTCCTCCAGTAGGTAAATGATAAAAACAAATTTTTTGATGTGGAATGCTACCCAACATATTTATCAATGTAATCTTCTCTATTGTGGCAAGAATATTCAGATCCATAAGATTCAAAACAAAAGTTTGATATTGACATAAAAACAATAATACTTCAAGCATACTAACAAGGCAATTATGTCTTCTCAAAATAACATGGCCAAAGAAAGCTTATCCCTACAAAATCATATAGTCTGGCTATGCTCCATCTTCATCACACAAAATATTCAAATCATGCACAACCCCGATGACAAGCCAAGCAATTGTTTCATACTTTTGATGTTCTCAAACTTTTTCAACTTTCACGCAATACATGAGCGTGAGCCATGGACATAGCACTATAGGTGGAATAGAAGGTGGTTGTGGAGAAGACAAAAAAGGGAGATAGTCTCACATCAACTAGGCGTATCAACGGGCTACGGAGATGCCCATCAATAGATATCAATGTGAGTGAGTAGGATTGCCATGCAATGGATGCACTAGAGCTATAAGTTTATGGAAGCTCAAAAAGAAACTAAGTGGGTGTGCATCCAACTTGCTTGCTCATGAAGACCTAGGGAAATTTGAGGAAGCCCATCATTGGAATATAGAAGCCAAGTTCTATAATGAAAAATTCCCACTAGTATATGAAAGTGAAAACATAGGAGACTCCCTATCATGAAATCATGGTGCTACTTTGAAGCACAAGTGTGATAAAAGGATAGTAACATTGTCCCTTCTCTCTTTTCTCTCTCTTTTTTTGGGCCTTTCCTCTTTTTTTCCTCACATGGGACAATGCTATAATAATGAAGATCGTCACACTTTATTTACTTACAACTCAAGAATTACAACTCGATACTTAGAACGAAATATGACTCTATATGAATGCCTCCAGCGGTGTACCG